CCCTGAACTTAAAATGAAAATGGAAAATAATAATCCTTAGTTGTCTTCTTAAAAGAGACTACATCAAAACGTACTCAGCATTATCAGAAATTTAAAACACCTCCTGAATCAGACTCTAAATTCAAAACTGAAGAGGATACTGTGCATTCTTGCTTTCCTGCTAGCCTTGCTCTCTCATCTTTGTGCTCCACCAATGCCAACCCTATCTTCACCCTCCTGGCCACCACTCACTTCTCTCTCTTAACTGCCTGTCTTTCCTTTGCCCTCAGTTCAGTAAACACTTTCTCCAGTTGCTAATTTGGCAACTCTGACTGCACCATTTATTAGTTATTTATTTATTTGTGAAGGTCTTGCTCTGTCACATCTTTGTCTATTTATTTATTCATTTGAAACAGGGTCTCACTCTGTTGCCCTGACTGTAGTGCAATGGTAGGATCACAGTTCACTATAATCTCCAACTCCTGTGCTCAAGTGATCCTCCATTTTGGCCTACCAAAGTACCTGGGATTACAGGCTTGAGCCACTGCCTTGGTCTGATCACATCTGTTAAAGGGATTGCTTACTCTACAGTCATAGAGACCACTTCCGACTTTCTTTGAAAAAAGTTAGAACTTCTTGCCTTAGTAAAAGTTTTCCTTAAACCTGAAACATACTCACTTGAATTTGAATATCACTTAATTTGATTATCAATGTATAACAGCCAGGTTTTCCTGATGTTTATCAATTAATTAATTCATAAATTAGTGGGAAAGGTGTTAACACAAGAATGAATGCTGACTGGGTTAGGCTCCCAATATATTTTCAGCATATTGGGAAAATAGCATTTAAGGTGGTGAGAAAAACAACTGCTGAATTGATTAAAGCTATTTCAGCCATCCTTCCTTGACAAATCATCAGGAAACCATTCATCAGTGCACTCAGAACAAAGGCAAATCTGTCTTTGATTACTTTCACTGATTTGAAAAGGCTTTCCACAAAATTCTGGTGTCAAAGACCTAACTTACAGTACTAAAAACCTTTTTAATTCACTTTTCCTCTTGAGTCTCAATGAAGCCCTTAGTGCCCTGAGTAAGCAACATGGACTAATGCGGCCTCCTAAGAGACCCCATGATACAGCTATTCTTGCTGAATACCTCCCTAAAACTCTAGAAAAGACGGGAAAAAAGAGACTATAGTAACCAGGGCACTTGAATGCCAAGAAAACACTGCTGAACATTGCTTATTCAACAACCCCAAAGGTCCCTCCCATGTGAGAGCAGAAAGTAGCAGCTTCATCTGCTGCAAGAGGTATAATTTGATTTTTCTGTAAGAGTTCTGGTCATTTCAAATTAGATTGTAGAAAATATAAACAATGGCTTCAGAATAACTCTGAAAAGGCAAAGAAGCCTCTTTCTGCTGAAGCAGTAAGACAAATACTTAGTGATCAGAACTAGGGGCACTCCAGGGAATTTCTCCTTTCCTTTCAGTCAATCAATTGGGTGAGGTTTATCTTAAAACTAACAACAGAATATTCCAAACTCTGAAGTTATGCTTTACTTCAACCTCTTTTTGAAGCCCTCTCCCCAAATTGACTAAGTCATTCAAATGGTTGAGTCACTAACCAACTTATGACTGTCTTTAAGTCTAAACTAGTGTCTTACCAATTAGAACCCCTTACTGGGCACCAGAGCTTTTTACTTGTCCCTTCTGCTTTAATCTAACTAGTAGGAAGCAACTTTCTTGAAAAACACAAAACACGAAGCCATATCTCTTTTACTGTAAAGGAGACCTTGTTTTAAAGGTTTCCCCACCTTAGGCTTAACCCTCTGACCTATGTACTTCACACTGTACAATATTGGATAGTACAACACTAATGGAATTAATAACTGAAACCAGTAATATTGTAGAACATAAGGTCAAAATACAAGTATCTACAGTATTTTTATACCCCATCCACAAAAAGAAAACAAATTTTTAAAGCATCTGCTTTATAGCATCATCAAAAATAGTAATAAAAATTAAGACAAAAGCTGGGCTCCATGGCTCAGCTTGTAATCCCGCGCCTTTGGGAGGCTGAGGTGAATGGATTGCCTGAGCCCGCGGGTTCGAGACCCGCCTGGGCAGCGAGACCTCATCTCTACAACAAATCAAAAAATCAGCCGGGCATGGTACCGCATGCCTGTAATTCCGGCTACTCGGAAGGCTGAGGCAGAAGGATTGCTGGAGCCCAGCAGGTGAGGTTGCGGTGGCCGGGAGTGGCCACTGCACTCCAGTCTGGGCGACCGAGTGAGACTCCAACTCAAAAAAAAAAAAAAAAAAAATTAAGACATATGTCAGTGCAACACCTTTACACTGAACACTAGAAAATGCTCTGAGAAAAATCATTTTTCAGTGTAATCTCAAATGTGCCTGCTGTAATCAATGTAATATCTTTGAAGACATGTCTTCTTTTGTTGGTAGAAACTTAAAAAATAAATCAGAAATTTGTATAAAATACAACGGGCCAAAAATACCCAAGACCACCATGAACTGAAAAATCAGTGCTGGGGAATATAGATTATAATATTGCATAAATTAATAGGAATGTATAGTTGTCAAATAGGATAATATTATCACACGAGGCAGATCTTTTTAAAAAGGCACAAATGTTCACTTGACTGATGACCAAGGTTATGATTCAGTGTAATAAAGGAATAACAGTCTTGAAATAAATTGTGAATGTTTAATTTTATATCCTTATGTATATATTCACAAAAAATAAATTACAGGTTGCATATTTAAATGTAAATGATAAAAAATATCTCTCCAAAGAAAATATATGCAAACATTTTGTGACATATAAAGCAATACACATTGTCATATGTGTTATCTATTGCTGCATAGAAAATACTTAGTGGCTTAAATTAGAATCAATTATTATTATTATTTTGGAGTTGGTGTATTACTCTGTCACCCAGGCTGGAGGGCAGTGGCACACTCACAGACACTGCAGCCCAAAATACAGGGTTCAGGCGATCCTTCTGCCTTAGCCTTCCAAGTAGCTGGAAATACAAGTGCGTGCTACCATGCCTGGCTAGTTTTTTTATTTATTGTAGATATGAGTTTCGCCAGGTTACCCAGGCTGGTCCCAAACCCATGGGCTCAGGCAATCCTCTTGCCTCAGCCTCCCAAAGTGCTGGTCTCTGAAAGTGCTGGGATTATAGGCTTGAGCCACTGCACCCGGCCAATCAGTTATTATTTTATGTTTTCTTTGAGTCAGGAATGAAATTATGTCTTAGGGTTTCCTACAAATAATTGTCAAGGTGAACCTCACCTAGTTTTGAGTGCTGCTTAATTTATAAATCATACTTTGCTTCAATAAACTGCTATATTAATTTGCCTAAATTTTTTCTTTTAACATATGAAAGATATCTTTAAAAAAATGGAAATTATAAAAAAGGACAATACATCAATAAAAATTTTTCTAGGTTTCTTAACAAAAGTAAATATTAGTGATTGGGAACTATAACAATCAAAATATATTCATAACAAAGCACAATATTGAAGAAAATGACAAGCACTTTCATGAAGGAAATAAAACTTTCACCATTCAAATAAAGACATATTATAAAGTTGAAATAATAAACAGAACTTTCTATGGAAACATTAATTTTTGAAATAAATAAATTCATTACATCAGAAATTATATTAAAGAAATTGTAAGTATATGAAAGGCATTTAACATATTAATGATCAGCATAACAAAATATATAAATAATTATAATAAATAAATAGATGAAAATGCAAAGCAAGCAAACATTTCACAGCAAAGAATACTTACGTAGCTAGTAAAAGTATGAAGATGTAATCAATTTTACTAGTAATCAAGGAAAGTCCAATTGAAATCATAATGAGATAATGTTGTATACACATACAACTGACAAAAACTACAAAGTCTGACAATATCTTGTGCTAAATGGAATATGAATACACAAACTCTATTATACAGTAAAAAGTCATTGTATGTGTAAATTACTGTTAGTTTTAAAATATATTTGCAATTGTTCATGCATGCACTATTCACCGAGTTGATAGCCCAGAGTTCCATATCTAGATATGTAGCCAGGAGACTCTTAGGTACATTAGGGGTTAATTATAAGACATAACAAAACTCTTTAAAATGGAAGGATTAAAAAAAAAAACAACTATGAGCACACACTCTAAAGCCCCATAAAGAGAAAAATCAATAATTGCATAATTCTATACATGATGAACTATTACACAAAAAAGTGAATAAATGAGCTGCATTTACATGAAATAACATGGATATTACCAGTAATATAGAGGGTGAAAAATTAGTACCAGAGAATTTGCTGTATTTTTACATGTTCTAAAATTCAAAGCTGATAAAAATATGATAAAATTATAAAAAGATATTGTTAAACAAAAAATTGTGCATAGAGTTAACTTCTTGGATATGGGAAAAGATGAAGAATTAGGAACAGTTGAGTTGTGTATGTACCATTTTTAGATCATGTGTGTTATCATGGATGACAATGAATCAAAGACTATAATTAATTCAATTCTTTTGGAAGCAAGTTACCATAAGTGAAGTTACCACAGATGCAAGTACTGAAAGTAGGAGATGAGGAAATAAATGAAAACACACAATTAATAACTTAGTGAACCAATGCAGTCAACATTGGAGGAATTAAAGCGGTAACTTAGGTGGTTATGTCAGTGATGCTATTATTATGCAGGGAACTAAAATATTGCTGTTGCTATTAATATTTGCACAGTGATGAAAACATGTTTCTTTAATCTATGTCACATTTACTTAGGATTTAAACTCTACATGTTTCAAATTTAGGATGAGTCAGTTATCACATGCCTCATATCTCCTTATCTTATATATTTGATAAAATGGTGCATATAATTTTTAAAGTGCTCATTTGTATAACATCTATATCTACAGACTCTACCAGAAAGGAAAAACAAAACAAACACCCATTAATGGATAACCTATAAAATTTGTCACTGACCGTTGGCAAGCCACAATCACATTGTTCTCCTGGTTCCAAAACTTTATTGCCACAAGTTGAAGTTTTCCCTTGATAAGTCACTTTTGAAACTGTTTTATTCTGAAGACATTCAAGTTGAGGCTGCAAAACTCTTTGTTTAAATTCATCCACACTGCAACTGCTAAAAAACTTTGCACCTTTGGATTGTCTAAAATTAAATTATATTTATCAGATAAATGGAATAAAGGAATACAAGTAACACTCTTCAATAAAGTGCTGTGAATTCTGAACTACTTTACTTAGAGAAGATCCAGAAGGAGGAGAGAGTTCTTGTTATTTTTAATACAGTTGATAAAAATAAGTTTATTTATCACATAATTTGATATAATGACACATAGAAAGTGGCGGAAGTTAAAATGACAAAACACTTAACAATAAGCTCTGCTTGAGTATATCCTATTATTGTCAACATCAAGGAACCAAAGATGGTCCATTGTGTTAAAGAAAAATCATCATTATTTGCTTTTTATTACAATTAATGAAATAAGTTATCGCAACACTGATGTATATTTAGAGTGTACATGCACTTTGTCCAGGTCCTTTACCATCATCTGCAGTTTGTAAAATCCTCACCAATCTTTTTCTCCTGGTGAACTTACTGATATTTCAGTTTCAGTGGAAGCAACAGCTTTTTAGAGTTAAATTAGTCAATAATTTATGTGATATAATGTTAGATTTTTTTTGTTTGTCCTCATACAACTAGGAACTTCATGCAGATCTTATTTTGTCAGTGCATTGACTTCACTTTGCTGGTATGTTTGGTTCATTCCAGTTTTGGTAGTTTGCATATTATGATTTTGTTGTTGTTGCTGTTGAGTTTTTCTCTACACTTTGTCGGAGAATACTGGGATATTAAAATACCATGCTGATGTTTTGACAACTTGGCTCCCATTCTTCCCCTTATTCTGAAAACTTACTACTTCTTGGGTAAGACTTCATCTTATCTTGGTTCTTGTACTCATATTTTCTTTCTTTCTTCTCCCATCCCCCATGTCAATTATTTTCCCTCAATTACTTGGTCTGTTAATAATATAAAGCACTCAAATCTTTATCTTAAGTCACTTCTTTTCACTATAAAATATCTTTCAAAATTATCTGCTCATATTTTTATTTTTCATCCTCATGTTAATTATTGGATACTTTAGATCTCTGGTCCTCTGAGATTGAGATCTATGTAACTAACTGTGCACACAACAACTCTGCTGCATGACCCAGAATACCTTAGGTTTAACATATACAAACAATCTTCAGGACTTTTTCACATTTTTACTTTCCTGAAATATTGGCCTTGTTCAATATTTGTTAAGTAGTAATTTTCAAAACCTATGAATAATTCTTGGTATCTCCTTTATTCTAGATTTTAATAAACTAATGTAGATTAGTATAAAAATTATTATCTCTCAAATGTTAGTATTTGGTAGCTCCCTATGATTTATTTTACATTAATTATACAAAATAAACTTTTATTATTAATACTTTATAAATTGGTTGAAATGTGCCTTGTTAAATTTATTGTATAATCCAAACTCCCACCTAAGTTTACCATCAAGTTCTTTTCTACATTTTCTGTCTTACTTTTTGAAAATCTTCTCCTTACTTATGGTTCTCTAACCTATTATATTTCACTTTTTTTCCCTTAAGCTTATAATATTCTTCCTTATAATTCCAACCATTAAAAAAGTAATTTTCTTCCCTTTCCACCCACCCACATAGCTTTTTACTTGAGGTCAGTTGATCTTTACAAACTTCTTACTATCCAAGTATCATTTCATTTGATGACCCTGAGTCCTTTTTCAACAAGACTTTACTACACCTATATAGTTATCATTAGTATCCTCTTTCACTATATAATATTATTGAATATAGCACTATTAAACACATTGTCTACCACAGCTTATACTTACTTGCATTAATTTTTAAATGGCATATTTGTATCCAATAAAATACTCTTACTCATTTTATATTGCGAAAGCTTATTCATCAAGAAATACTACAGACATTTCCAAGTTGAAAACATAGAGTTGAAAAAGACAACACCTTACATTGCTTCAGGATTCATTATGCATGTAGTTCCTGGACAGTAACACTTGTAGATGTCATCATATGTCAATCCCAGATTAATCCCAAGCAACTGCACCATGACAACAGAAAATGCTTCTAAAGTTATTGTCTTTGGAAACTAAATGGAAAAACATGAACATAAACAGAATTACTGTTTTGTTTTTTTTTTTACCCTTTTGATGTCAAACTTTTCTGACCATACTATTTAAATCTAAATGCAATTTTAAAAATGGTTATACCAAAACCAGTTATTTCCTCAGAAATAAGAAAAACAAATAGGTAAATTTTATTATTTTCTTTGAATGACAGTATTTTTAGCCTAAATGACATTGACCCATAAAAAATTTAATCATATACTTTTATGACATATTATTAAATTAAATTTCAAAACATAGTAAAAAGTAGAAACATTATTTTAGCAATTATACTATTTATCAAAAGATCACTAGGAAATATATGGAGATATTGAAGAATTGAATTGGCAATCAGTTTTGACTTCAGAAATGATTTGTTAAATGAGTCAAACTAATTTTTAAAAGCAGAATAGTCTAATACTTTGCAAATAGCATATCTACAAATTACCATCAATAACCTTTCATTATCTCTATAGCTTTTCTTATTCCAAAAGATCATTCACTAAAATGAACACACACATACATATGAAGGCAAACATTAAAAGGAAACAAAGCAAGCCCCTAAGAGTCCTATGGCAGGGATATAATCTCACTCTCAGTATCAATAATCAACTTGAACATGAATGGACTAACTGGGCCACTGAAGAGATGGAGAGTGGCAAACTTTATTAAAAACAAGAACCAAAAATCTGTTGTCTCCAGGAAACTAATCTCACCACAAAAGATACCCACAGACTCAAGGTCAATGATATTTCAGGTGAATATAAAACAGAAGAAAGCAGATGTATCTATTCTAACATCAGACAAAGCAGTCTTCAAGCCATCAAAAGTTTAGAAGGACATGGAAGGACACTACAAAATGATAAAAGTTTCAATTCTCTAGCAAGAAATAGCCATCTTAAACATATATGCACCCAACACAGGAGCATCAGGTTTTATAAGACAACTACTAAGCAAGCTAAAAGAGTATATTAACTCTCACACACTCATAGATAGAGACCTAAATAACCCACTAACAGTTTTAGATAGATTATTGAGGTACAAAATCAACAAGGAGACCCAGAACCTCAACTCAACACTTGATCAAATGAACTTAATAGATATCTACAAAGCAGTTCACCCAACATACAGAGTATACTTTCTGTTCATCAGCACATGGAACATATTTCAAGATCAATCACATACTCTGACATAAATCAAGCATGAGCTCATTTCAAAAGATTGAAATAATACTATACATTTTCTTAGATCACAGTGGAATAAAAATAAATATCTCCACTCACAAGATCCCCCCAAAACACACAAAGACATGAACACTAAACGACATGCTGCTAAAAGATTTCTGGGTCAATATAGAAATAAAGACAGAAACAAAAAGATTTCTATAAACAAATGAAAACAAAGACAAACCTTATCAGAATCTCTGGGATGCCATGAAAACAGTGTTAAGAGGAAAATTCACAGCAAGGCACACACAAATCAAGAAAACAGAAAGATCACAAGTGTTCAGCCTAATGTCACACCTAAGGGAGCTGGAAAGGCAGTATCACCTAAATCCTAACCTCAGCAAGAAGAATTCAGATCACCAAGGTAAAATCACAGTTGTAGGATATTGAAGACAAAAATATCCTAGATAGGATAAACAAGACCAAGAACTTGTACTTTGAAGGGATAAATAAGATAGAAAATCCACCTGATCTCAAACAAAGTGAAGTGGTGACCAAAGTGAGGCCCAAACTTTGCCTACTTAATGACCATTTGTATACCTAACCCTGAACTGTACTGATTGACTAAAAAAAAAAAAAAAGATGGAAAATCCTCAGCCAGATTGACTTAGGAAAAAAAGGGAGAGTGAAAGCCCAGATAAATACAATTAGAAATGCAAAAGAGAAGTCAAAACTCATCCTGAAGAAATTCAAAAATTATCAGAGATTACTATAAAAACCTAAAGGAAACGAAGCACTATCTGACATCACACAGCCTCACAAAGTTGAAACATAAATAAATTGAAACTCTAAATAGATCAATAACAATCCAGGAAATTGACTCAGTCATAAGAAATGTACCCCCCCAAAAAACCTCAAAGTCAATGGCTTCCCAGCTGAATTCTACAAGACATGCAAAGAGGAGCTGATACCAAACTTATTGCAAGTATTCCAGGTAATTGAGAAAGATGGAATGCTCACCAACTCATTTTATAAAGTCAATGTCATACTGAAACCAAAACCTGACACAAACCCAACAAGGAAAGAGAAGTACAGAGCAATGTCTTTGATGAACATAGATGCAAAAAATCTCAACAAGATTCTAGCAAATTTGATCTAACAACACATCTCAGGATCATCCACCATGACCAGCAGGGCTTCATTCTTGGAACGGAGGGTTGGCTCAACATTGACAAGACCATAAATGTAATTCAGGGCCTTAACAGATGTAACACCAAGAACCAACGTTTATATCATCAGACACAGAAAAAGTATTCAACAAAATTCAGCATCCCTTCTTAAAAAGAACCTTCAGGAACCTAGGCATAGAAGGAACATTCCTCAAAACAGTAAGAGTCATCTATGAAAAACTCACAGCCAATATTTTGCTCAATGAACTTAGTGGAAATGGAAGCATTCCCCCTAAGAATGGAAGGAAGACAAGAATACCTCCTCTCACTCCTCTTGTTCAACATAGTATGGAAATCTTAGTCAGAGCAATCAGGCAAGAGAAGGGAAATCAGGGGTATCCAAACAGGAAAAAAGAAAGTGAAGCGCCACTTTTGATGATATGATGCTATACCTTGAAGTCCCTAGGAAGTCTGTCAAATGTCTCCTCGCACTGATAAACAACTTTAGTAAGGTCTTGGCATGCAAAGCCAATGTGCAAATGACAGTTGCATTTCTATGCACCAGCAACAAGAGACAGAGAACCAAATAAAAAGCACAATACCATTCACAATAGCCACCCCAAAAATGAAATACCTTGGCATCTATCTAACCAGAGAAGTGAAAGATCTTTAAATTGAAGACTACAAAATTCTGCTCAAATAAATTAAGGATAACACAAACAAGTTGAAAAACATTCCAAGCTCATGGATTGGAAGAGCCAATATTGTCGAGATTTTCATTCTACCCAAGGCAATCTACAGATTCAATGTAATACCCATCAAGTTACCAACACTTTTTTCTTGGACCTGGAAGCAACAATATAGAAATTCATGTGGAAACAAAAGACAGCACAAATAGCCAAAATAATCTTCAACAAAAGAAACAAGGCAGGAGGTATCACCCTTCCAGATTTTAAACTTTACTATAAGGCTACAGTAACCAGAATGGTATTGGTACAATAATAAGCACATAGACCAACAGAACAGCACAGAGATTTCAGAAGTAAAAACTCAGTCTCTCGACCAACTCATCTTCAGCAAAGTCAGCAATAAAAAACACCAAGGAAAAGAGACTATACACAAAAATCAACTCTAAGTGAATTAAAGGCCTAAATGTAGAACCTTTACTAAAGAATCCTAGAAGAAAACATAGGAAACACTCTTATGCACATCAGAGTAGGCAGCAAATTCTTGACCAAATCCCCAGAAGTGAAAGCCATAAAAGCTAAAATAGACAAGTGGGACATCATCAAACTCAAAGGCTTTTGCACAACAAAAGAGATCATCAAGAGACTGGGGAGACAACCCACAGAATGGGAAAAATATTTGCTAATTGTGTATCTGGCAATAGCCTAACATACAGGATCTACAAGGAGTGGAGGAAAAAAGCCAAACGCCCAATTAAAAAGTAGACAAAGGACATGAATAGACACTTTTCAAAAGAAGATATACAAGCATCCAACAGACAGGAAAAAATGCTCAGTTTCATTAATCATTTGAGAAATACACATCAAAACTATAATGAGATACCGCCTAACTCCAATAAGAATGACCATCATTAATAAATGAAAAAAACAGCAGATGCTGGTATGGATACAGAGAAAAGGGAACAATTCTACACTGTTAGTGGGAGTGCAAGTTAGTTCAAACTCTATGGAAAGCAGTTCAGTGGTTCCTAAAATAATTAAAATTGACCTTCCATACAATCCAACAATCCCTCTCCTAGGAATATACCTGAAGGAACATAAATTGTTCTACAAAAAAGTCACATGCATATACATGTTTATAGTCACACTATTCATAATAGTAAAAATATGGAACCAATCCTACCACCTATTGAAAGAGGACTGGATAAAGAAAATGTTGTACATGTACATGATGGAGTATTACACAGATATAAAGAACAAAATCACAGACTTCACAGCAAATTGGATGGAGTGGAGACCATCATACTTAGTGATCTATCAAGGAAACAAAGAACTGAATACCACATGCTCTCACTCATAAATGAAGCCTGATCATTAATTACAGCAGCACAAGAGAGAACTGGCAGTCACTGGACACTGCCAGAGGAGGGAAGGAGAAAGGGAGGGCATGTTACAACACAAAGCAAACCTGGTCCCAAACCATGAGAAGTGAGGTCATGTTGGAGGTTTTAACTTCACCTGCATGCAGTCTACTTATATAGTTAATCCTTACTTGAATCCCACATCTCTATAATAAAATAAAATTCAATTAAAAATAAATAAAAATTGATACTATGAGTATTCAATGTAAAAATATGTAATTTGTAAAATAAAATGCATGCTATAGATATAAACAGATGAGTTTTTATAAATGATTGAAGTTAAGTTGTTATTCATTTAAAAAAGACTTACAGGCCAGTGCCGTGGCCCATGCCTATAATTCTAGCATTTTGTGAAGCCAAGGCAAACAGATTGCTTGAAGCAAGGAATTTGAGGCCAGCCTGGGCAACAGCAAAACCCCATCTCTACAAAATATTTTAAAAATCGCCAAGTGTGGTGACACACATATAGGCCCAGCTACTAGGAATGCTGAGCCCAAAAGTTTGAGACTGCCATGAGCTGTGATCATGCTGATCATTCCAGG